AATGGAGTCAGAGGCACGAATGGTAGCAGGCTCTGTAGCATCCAGAGGTTTGATGCTACAGAGGCAAAGGCACGACCACCCCTAGTCTTCAGACGGTGCCTGGGCTGGGCCAGAAGAAACTGACCAAATGATTGTAAAGAACAGCTGGGAGTATAGAGACTGAGGAGGTCGGTGAGATAGTCAGGCACGAGGTTGTTTAGGCATTTGAACGTAAGCAGCAGAACTTCAATACGAAGTTTAGGAGTCAGCCGATGTAAATCAGGGAGCGCTGGAGTAATGGAGCCAAACTTTCTAGTTCCGGTTATGAGACGAGCCGCAGCGTTCTGAACGAGCTGTAATCGTTGGAGGTGAGCGAGGTGGAGTCCAGAGTAGAGACTCAGGCATGGATACGTTTATAGTAATATGTAGTGCTTTTACTCTTAAATAAGGTTCATGTAACATTAGGCTGATGTGTCCCTCACAAAATAGTGGAAATGCTTCTTTTTTCTAGGTACTTGTGTGGTGATCTACATGTAGGTAGTGCATTAATACTGTGGAGTGGAAAAGGAGGTAAGTGGATAAATGAGAGCAATTTATTTGATCTGTAACATTGTCTTTTTTGCTTAAGTAAACATCCTAAACCAATGCAGGAGACTCAGATTTGGTCCTCTGCATCATTCTGAGAACACAATCCTGTTAGTAGCAGCAGCAACACACCACCAAAACCTTCTGCTTTTCCTTCGAATCTTGATTGTGTAATTAAAAATCCACTCTGGTGTTGTACAGACGCAACGTTGAAAACATTTATGAACTTAACTGTTGATGTCATAATGCCATGAGTTCCTTTTGATAAAATATTCTGAGCTGTCAGTAAAGATCCAAACAGAAAACTGTACACAGCGACATCAGAGTTTTCTCTCTACCACTCCATACTGCAGAGCATGAACTGGGTCCAGAACTCCATATGAACATCTGGATTTAGTAATGCTTTGTTTCAAGTTGTCATTTTGATGTGCAACATGGAACCTTAAACACGACACAGACGAAGCTGTGGAACCTCCCGTCACGTCGATATGCTTTAGCTGCTAACTGATTGCCATTTGTCTAATTAATCAATCCCCAGCTAACATCAGCTATTAATTCACTGACGAGCAGGGTCACAGCACACTCCTCACACACATAAATCTTTGCCTGTTACTGATCCAAAAATAACTGCACAGCTTGATTTGTCTGATTAATCTCTGTGGTGCACTACAAAGCGAAAAGACCTCATTATTTAGCTTGTTTTTTTTTATCCATGGATTCGAGATATCAGCACAACTGTAGGACTCTGCTGGAAGCTAGTAGCAATAAAAACACCCTAAGCTTTAAGTGTTCAGTGAAAATGTCCAGTTATTACACACACAGTCCATTTTAGGTCTCAAGTGGGAAACTATTGATTGAACCACAAATCTAACAAAACAGCTTAAACTGAGTAACACCCACTTTCCAATATCAATCCAGAAACATGACTCAGCAAGATGTTGCTCTTAGAAAAAAAAAACAATCTGCTATTCTCCTGAGGCAATCTAATGTTTTCAATCAGCAGCCAACATCAGCTGCTGCTGGTGCGGCTGCCAGTGCTGCCAGTGCGTTCCAACTGGCATCAGACCAAATGGCTACATTTGGCCTAACATATAACACCTCAACAGTCATTGTGGAAATATAACACAAGGACTTTCACTCCTAACTTCCCTTCACCCACTTTCTATCTTCATTTTTCTTTTTTCATTCCTCCCACCATCTCATTTCTCTGTCCTGCTCCGTTACTTTATTTCCCTTCCCATTCCTTGTGTCTGCTGGTTTGACACTTTTTGGCCGAGTTCCCAGTAAACAGTATGGAGGAACAGCTATTACACACAGTGTGCTCTGATCAGAGACGTTTCAGATCACAGCGACAGAGATGCTTCTCATCACACCTGGAACTCGTTTGGAACTCGGGTCACAAAGGTCGTCCGCCTGACTCCAGCAAGCTGCCTCGGACATTATGGTAAGTGAAACCAGCGAATATACATGCTAAGAAGTCTGCCTCTCCGTGAATCGCTACCTTATCGTGGTGGAGGGGTTTGTGTGTCCTAGGGATCCCAGGGGCTATGTTGTCTGGGGGCTATGTTGTCTGGGGGCCCTGGTTGGGTCTCCCATGGTAAATTGGTCCTGGGTGAGGGACCAGACAAAGAGCGATTCAGAAGACCCTTATGAGGAAAACATCGAGGGAA